TTCAACAGTTTATTGTGGTTCAATATGTCAATAAAGTGACTTAGAAACACAAATTCTACATATGTACTTTTTTGCCAATGTTATGCATGTTAACATAATTTGTGTGTATGACCTTATGTATATATCATCTCAAAATTTCTTGATTATGCAACCAACAATAGGGAGATTAGCAGGTTGCTCTTGACTTTTGAGAAAAGGTCAATGTGATTAGTGATTTCTATACAATAATGAACTCATCAAAAGTTCTCCATAAAAGGTTTTAAATGTTTTCACCTGATGCAATACAAGCAGTATTATGTTCCTGAAGGGCTTTAGTGTTTGTCTAATATAAAACAACAATTATTATTGATCGTAGGATGCCAAACAAAAGACCAAACATTAAAAACATACTAGTCATACAAAAGGAAATCAAAAAATAACCACAACTCTTTTCTATCAAGGATCAAAAGTTCAAAATCCTGTAACCAAATGAATATTTTTGTATTTGAAAGTTTTGATGCAGTCAGTAATAAAATATATTTTGATACAGTCAAGATTGAGTGACTCAGAAATCACCCAAAAATGAGACCAGAAAATAATGTGCCTGTTTTAAATTTCAATATAGCAGAAGGATCACGTCAAAAAAATATGTATATTCTTGTCAATAATCGGTGCAAAAGCTTTTTTAGCATTACAAGAATGAAACCCTTATAATTGCTGACCATCTTCTTCTATGTGCCTGTTGGTATTTTTGATGATTCAGCTTTTGGTTTCATGTCTCTGAGGAGGGAGGGCTCCTTACCATCGCCCTAATGTTGAGCTACCTGCACAGTCGATCAGTTTCAGGACTGTGCTGGGCTCGTTTCTCAAATCTTAACCTGCTCAGCGGTTTAGGTATAGACCAATCACCTGTCGTTAATATTATTATGTGACTTTCATTGTGAAAAGCTTATCACAATAATCTGGGAAAATAATTAAGATTTCAAAACATTAAAATTGCATTATTATTTTTTCTGAATTTATAACTTTAATCGTCTTTCATGTAAATCAGTGATTCTTGAGAATAGGGACAAAACTACGGAGCCCCCCAGGGGACATGGGGAATTTTTTTTCTTTTGCGTTCCCTCGCAAAAGGTTTT